GTATTGTCGGACGGCCTATCACTATATCCGAAAGCCCTCTGAGTTCTCTGAAGACATGGGTGCCCTCAACGACCTCCTCAAGGGTTCGGGTCGGCTCAAGTGGACTCCTGAGTCGGACGCCGCCTATGACCGTCTCCGTCGACGCTTCGAACAACGGTATCTGCCCTTTTATTCGGTTGAGGAAACATCTCCGGGGCCCTCCAGACGCTATGTGGTTCAGGCCGATGCGAGCGACGTGGCTATCGGTTTTTGTCTGTGGTCTATTGACGTTAGTAAGGAGGTATCTGCCGACTCCCTCGCCCAGTCTGGGAGTTTACTTATGTGGGGATCCAAGGTACTCAACTCGGCTTCACGGAGTTGGCCTTCGTGGGACCGGGAAGGCTATGCGGTGTATGTTGCCCTCTGTCGGTTCCGCCCGTGGCTGATATCCTCAATGACGACGGCGTACGTCCTCACGGACAATACTGGTTGCCTGTATAAATGGGCCACCATGGAAAAGAGCGAGCGTCTACTCCCGTCTCTACAACGAGGACAGCGTTGGCTCCGGTGGTTCAACATGACTAGCGACCTCTTGGTGTTCAAGTCTATCTGCTTCAAACACGTGAAGGGCGTGGAGAACGGTCTTGCTGATGCACTAAGCCGCCTGACCAACCACCTGTTGAATCGGGATGAGGAGGCAGTGCAGACTGACCGATGCTTACAAACGGCGGTCGGTTCGGGGGAGCCCGGGAACGGTTTTCTTGGTGACTGTGAGTGGGCTCCACCTCCCTTAGTTGGTCCTATCCAGGAGGCGTGTCGTGAAGCTCAGCCACAAGACGGTACTACCAAGTTCTTAGGGAAGACTATCTCTGAGATCTACCAGTTGGTTGCGAACAAGGGCGATCCTAACACAACGACACCCGACTGGCTGGACCGGTTCATACTATTTGACCATTGTCTCATGATGAACTCTCTGGAGCCGGTTACTCATCTACCCCGTTGGCTGGTGGTGGTGCCAGCTGGCACAATCCGTGTTGACATCGAGGGCGAGACCAAGTCGGTTCTCATTCGGGAGTACCTATGTTGGTTGGTTCACTCCAGAGTGGCCACTGGTCACCCCTCTCCTGCCATGATGAAGTGTCTGTTACGCCAACACTGCTGGTGGCCGTCAATGGAGGTCTGCTGTAGGACATGGACAAGCAAGTGCCACACCTGCCAGGTGGAGTCGGCTCGTACTAACCGGAATTTGGGCAAGTTCAGCCTTCGTCGTTATCCAGGTCGATTTGAGGCTATCAGTGTGGACTATACGGGACCATATGAGGTCTCGTCGGTGGGACAGTATCGGTTCAGTCTAACTATTATGGATCTATGCACTGGTTACGTCCGCTTCGCTGCCACTAGGACGCGGTGCGGAGGCGAGTTCGTGGCGACTCTCTTGAAGAGCTGGGGTATGGATTTCGATCTGCCACGAACTATACTGCATGATCGTGATGGTGCCTTCACCGCTGAAGTCGTCCGAGCTTGGAAGGCTCGTTCCCAGCATACTTCTGAACTTTTCGAGTTTCGAGGCTCGATCTCGAATCGATTCGGTCCCAGAAGTTATATAATCGATTGGCTCAATGTCGATACCGGGAACCGAGAATCGATCTCGAATCGATTCTCTCGATTCAAGGGCGCCGGTTCGATCCAAGGCACCGGCATTTTTATGTATTTTCTATTTGAAAAGTTGCGCACAATGAAACCACTGAAACCCAAACCCGTGACATACAGCCTATAAGTTTTGAGTTACTGCTACAAATAGTTGAGCCGCTATAGTGTAGCGCTGCTAATTGTTGTTGAAATAGTAGCCAAGCTGCATGGCCGGCGGCCGTTAGCCGCCGTGTCACGGCGCATTTCGCGCCGTTCATCGTTAAACGAAGCACTGCTTCGGAAGCACATAGCCTAGAAGTTTTCCTGCGTATACCATCTGATTTCGTTTGTCGTAGCACAACGTACCATTCGCTTTCTCATGCCTACATCGAATGCAGCAACGCCGCGAGGTCAGGGTTCCGGATTCTTTCCACCCGGTATTGGAGGTGGCTTCTCTGGTGGCAGAAAGCGTCGCAGGATTGAAACTGGGATAGCACCCATTATGGATCTGTCTTCTGAGCACAGCTCTCCTGAAGCGCACTCTTGCTCTCGTGGTGTTCTTCGACGCTCTTTTGGTGCTCCTTCTCGCTCCTCTGGTGCTCCTCCTCGCTTCTCTGGTACTCCTTCTCGCCCCTCTGGTGCTCCTCCTCGCTTCTCTGCTACTCCTTCTCGCCCCTCTGGTGCTCCTCTTCGCTTCTCTGGTACTCCTTCTCGCCCCTCTGGTGCTCCTCCTCGCTTCTCTGCTACTCCTTCTCGCCCTCTGGTGCTCCTCCTGGCTCCTCTAGTGCTCCTTCTCGCCCCTCTGGTGCTCCTCTTCGCTTCTCTGGTACTCCTTCTCGCCCCTCTGGTGCTCCTCCTCGCTTCTCTGCTACTCCTTCTCGCCCCTCTGGTGCTCCTCCTGGCTCCTCTGGTGCTCCTTCTCGCCCCTCTGGTGCTCGTTGTCGCTCTTCTGGTACTCCCTCTCGCTCCGGTGATTCTCCTCCTCGCTCCTCTGGTACTCTCTCCCGCCCCTCTCAGATCTCAGCAAGAACTGTTGAGGCTCCACCTGATGCCTACGCTGAACCGCCGTGCAAGTCTAAGCTAGATTACGAGAAATACGACACTTGCCCCAAAGAAAATCGCCGCTCAAAGCCAAGCAGGGTGTGGGAGCAGTTTCATGTCATTCGGTGCAAGCGAACTGGGTTTGTCTACCCAGAGCGCGCGGTCTGCAAGAAATGTGGACAGGTTTACTCTATGAGGAAGCAAAATACTTCGGCGCTTCTATGCCATATCGACAACGGATGCGACGAACAAAGGGATCAGCCACCAATAGCATCGTACTTTTACCAGAAACGGAAGGTCAATTCCAATCAGAAATCTGCTGTGAATGCGGCGTTGGTTGATCTGCTGGCATGCGTGCCTGGTATAAGCTTCAACGGAACCCAGATAGCAGCATTCAAGAAATTCGTTGAGGTCGCGGCTCAGGTGGGGGCAGAAAATAGGTCGGGCTTCGATGCATCGCAAGTCTTATTTTGCCCCAAGACTCTTACTGACGACATGTTGAAGAAAGGGGCGGACGCCACAGAGAAGATTAAGAACCACCTAGCTCAGCAGCCAAAGCCAATAATGGTAGTACGGGAAAAGGTCAGCAGGGGATCGGTATTGGGAAGGCGGACTAACGGAGGTATCTGTCAGCCTTGCAATCTGCGAGTTGTAGATACTTTTCGACGGCTGGACCAGCCACCATAAGCACGAGAATGTGCTTGGAGTCACCACACTTTTGAATGTTAACGACGTGCAGCGGAGCGTTCTTCTGGCACTGGAGACACCAGAGACCATGACCGCTGATGACATTCAGGAAAGCTTGGAACGGGTAATCTCAACGTTAGCGACTAATGGTTAGTCCATAAATATCGACTCTATATTTTTGGACTAACCGCCAGTTAGTCCATTCATCGACTCGATAATATCGAGGAGCAATGGATCACTGAAGCTCAGTGAACAGTATTAATGTTTTCAGGTATGTTCTAGATATCAAATCCCGATAGAAAAGGTGCTATTTGCCAGTGATAGCTGTTCGGCGAATACGGCGGCTCTCGGGCAAGGCAATATGGCCTCCGTGTGCTGTTTTGCACATATGGTGCAAAACGCCCTGAAGGCCGGGATGACACACCCTGTGGACAATGCGATAGACAACTGCGAGGATGCGCTACGCAGCATGAACACTGGAGAGACTCTTGAAGCTTTTCTCGAGGAGCAGGCAACGGCTCCGGTCGAGTCGGTTCTTCTGACAAGCTCGCGCCTCGTTGCGTACTTCAAGAGGTCGAAGCTGAATGGCAAGCTAGCACGTCTTGGATACAACAAGTAATAGAGTCGCTGTGTATGTTTCAACGGTCAGATCAGGCTAAAGCGAAGGAGCACAGTTCGCTGGGACTCTGTTTATGAGATGATCGATAAGATAATTAAGAGCTGGTCGGGTATTGAAGAACTTCTCAGAGAAAAGAATAAAACGAGGTGATACCTTAAGTCAGCTTAGTAAGATCCAAGCTTAGAAAGCGTCCAGCTGTTCTAGGCCAAAACTAACCAGTAGTGTTAACTTTATTGCGCTCAGGAACTTCCAGAACTTGCTTTCGAACAAAGAGCTATTGATTCAAATTCGTAGCTTCTTAATCCCTTTTCGCATAGCGACCAAAGTTATGCAAGGGAGGAAGCCGGGAACGGCAGTAAAATCCATTGTGTGAGTCAAACGGAGTGGTTCATTTTCTTCGCCTTGAAGTAGTCTGTGAATCCTCAGGAAGCTTGAGCGGTGCTGGATATTCCTTCAAACTTCTCCTCCTGGAGAATTTGAGGATTTGCAAATGGTACGCAGTAACGTCAAAGAGCAGTTCTTCCTGAAGGTACCTCGGAATGGACACGTAGTTTCCGATTGGATCTCTCGATTGCAGGTCATATGTAACCTTACCCCAGACGCTTTGCTCCCTGCAATGTTGCACCCTGCAACGAAGGTCAGAGGTGTAGAGAAGCTAAAAATGGTTACTGAGTATAGAAGACGTATCAAGGGTGAAGAGTCTATTCTCCGCCGTGAGGACTTAATCGAAGCGCTAAAAGGATGGTCGCTCATCACCGAGAACAGCAACGAAAACAATATACACACTAATCATAGTACTAGCGAGAATGATGCTGCTGAAGCTAATATGCTAGAACAAGTGGTCGAAATTGCTGACGACAGCCTCCTGCAAGGATTGATTGACGTGAAAGACTTGCCTAGGTGGAGTGAGAGGGGTAGGGACAGAACAGCTGATGAAAAAGCCCTGCTGATCGATAAAGAAGTTAAGCAATGGGCTAAATTGGGTGGGCATTGTGAAGACTATGAGACCTTTTGGAATACTGCTAAGCTGGATTATCCCTATCTTGCTCGCACGGCAACGGTGGCACGCGGGGTGGTTATATCAACGGCATGTGTGGAGAGTCTGTTCTCCGAGATCCGGGATATCATAGGTGATAAGCGCACCAGAATGAGAATGGAGGTTGTTGAAGCACTTCTCAAAACTCGTCACACATACAGATTGTGGGACAATGACAAGTAGATGTGAGAAACTCACAATGTGAGTCTCACATGCTTCGGTGATAATTATTATGCAATTCTGAGGCTGATTCCACAACTACAAGCTTTCAGTGTTTGATTCGCTGTCGAGTGCATCAGGCGACCCTACTTCTAGCTTACTTGAAACTAATGTCTATGGGGTTGATGAACATAAATGTCGAATATGAGTTGATTAAATCGATGGTATGTAAATCATACTAAGCGGTGTCATCAAATGTCATACTCTTCTATTTGATAGAATCTATTGTGTCTTTGACCTTTCGATTAAATCATTCATTTTGCATATGCAATTAACTCATCGACTACATGCTATCTACACTCTTTATAGGGCGCTGAGTTCAAGAGTGGCAAGACAGTAAGGGTACCAGTGCATGACAGGCACTGCCTGTGGCTATCAACTGAGCGGTCTAGCCTCGACCCTTATTTTTTTTTCGCGCGCTACGCGCGCGTGGATGTGCTCTGCGGCAGCCGTCCTAAATTGTTGTCGAACTAAGCCTCAATGCCGACGTAAAAGAACATTTCAATGGATTTTGAGTTTCGAGGCGGATCGATTTCTCGAATCGAATCGATTCGTGCGCCCGCCGTAGCATCCTCGATTGATTAGCACCGAACAATCGATCGATTTTCGATATCTCGATCCAATCGAGCCTCGGTCCGATGTATGGTTCCCAGATAGAGGAGAAGACGTCGTTACCTTACTTGGCCCGTATGAATGGCAAATGCGAACGTGCTCATCAAGAGATGAAGCGGTGTGTTCGGCAGGTCGTCGCTCAGTCGGGATCAGCCTCGTGGCCCGAGGCATTGTCTGTCGCCGCCCGGGTACACAACCGAACACCAACGTTCCGAGAGAAGATCAGCCCCTATCAGTTGGTATTTGGTCAGCTCCCTCGTGACGATTGGGGTAACCTGGTGAACGG